TTATAAAAAATATTTTTAAAATTTAAAAGAAAATAATAAAAAAAACATTTAAAAAATGGTTCAGTCCAATTTTTGGACTGATTTTGAGTTGATTTATCTAATTTTTAATCGGTTCTTTTATGTACTAATTTTATGATTCTTTCAAACTAGTAGACCGATAATTTTATGTTTAATCAATCAAAACAACTAATCCGATTTGACATCACAACTAAAATCACTCAAGAAAAAAAATCTTAAAAATCACTTTCCTAAAAATGATATATCAACATTGCACCACCACTATCACTTTCATCATCTTCACCATTACCATCACTTTCACTGTTACCATCACTTCCACTGCTAACAGTGATGGCAACAATGGTAGCGTTAGAGTGATGGAAGTGGTTTAGACAAAAAATATAAGAACACATGAAAAAATATTTATTTTAAATTGGAAAAAGATTTTAAGACACTCCTTAAATGTAGGCGTAGCTACACCTTGAGAGATGTGGCCACCTTAGTTTTGACATCTCATGAGCTATACTTTAGAACATTTTATATGGTGATACTTCACATAATATCTTATTGATCGAAATCCTTTGTTGGTTGTCCTTTTTGAGATCTTCAACAACTTTTAGGACCAACAATTATCCTCATAAACCAACACAAAAAACTTCTCAACGTGCTTTATTTTCACTCAAGCACTTTCTTGAAATTTTTTTCAAAATATCATCTCTCTCTAAATCACTTTAAGTCAAACATGTTTAACTATATATAAAAAATTTAAGTAATAAATTATAAAAAGTAAATACATCTTATTGATATAGGTAATACTAATTAATCATTTTAATTAAGTCATTCTAAATTATACAACACACTTGTATATGAATTTCTATCATTTTAATATATTCAAGCTGTTACAAAAGAGATAAAGAGAAAAGAGAGATGAGTAATTAATATAATTGGTAAAATGTGTGAGACCCCCCCCCCCGTACGGATTTTTCTCCAACTCACCTTCTCTCTAAACTTCTACTTTCATACTTCACTACTCTCGCTTCTCCTTTCTCTCATTTTGAACTTGTGGTTTTGGTGGCTGAAGGTGTTGATTGAAGGTTGAAATTCTTGTCGAACTGTGCTGTGCGGAGCCTCTTCCTTCATCTTCTTCTCCAACTCTCTTCCTCTTCGTTCCGTTTCTCTTCCCGGAAGCTCGGATTCTTCACCCGAGGTAAGGGAAGTTAGTTTTCTTGCTGCGTTTTGGTTGAAATGGGTTGAGAACTCATTGGGTTGTTAAAGGATCTATAAATATATCTTAAAATATTTACTGCATTCCAATGTGTTCATAAAAGGTCATGACATCAAGAGGCACCAAGGAATAAGCATATGTTGAACCTAACATTGGTTTTCTTTTTCATTCGTTCATTCATGCCATGTCAGAAAAATCATCTGTCCTCTTATTTTCTGCCTCTCCTCATTTCATTTCCCGGACAATACATTCAAATAAGCTTTATGTTCTTCTTAATCCCATCCCCCTACTTGGAAAACTATGTTTTGAGTCTTTCAACTCATTGACTGCACTGATAACAGTCATAAAATATACAAATTGATAATTGATATTAGGATTAGGAACTGTAACGATATAAATAAATTAAAACAGATGACATAATGTCCTAATTTAAAACAAAGGAATCTAGAAAGCAAGGTTGTTAACTTATTAATAACAAGTGTGTGTGTGTTTGGTCATATATCTATAAATTGTTAAACAAGAACGGAATATATTAAAAAGATCTTTAACTCCTAAGCATCTACTTGAATTTCAAAACGTGCTAAAAGCATTGTCCTAGATTGAAGCCAACACCCTAAATGGCCATCGAATTTATGTTGCTTTATCCTATTATCCTAATTGGAACAGATAAATACCGAGACTCTGAGGGGAAGTTTTAGTTTAAAAATGGAAATAGACAAATACTATTTTTCCTTTGATTCCATCACTGACCCAAATAACTTTAAAAAATGACAATCTACCAATTCTTGTCCATGCCTGGTAAATATTGTTAGTAATGTATTTTTGACCAGGTAAAGCTTAAAAGGTGAGACAAGATACCTGCACTGCTCTTCCACCATCAAGGCACCCCACTGGAAGCATGTTAAAAGCTTGTATGGTTCATTCATTTTTTACAATATGCCTTATTTACTTAATTAATTTATTTATTATGATTTTGCAGGTGTGGCTTAACCATACAAGCTTTTAACATGCTTCCAGTGGGGTGCCTTGATGGTGGAAGAGCAGTGCAGGTATCTTGTCTCACCTTTTAAGCTTTACCTGGTGAAAAATACATTACTAACAATATTTACCAGGCATGGACAAGAATTGGTAGATTGTCATTTTTTAAAGTTATTTGGGTCAGTGTTGGAATCAAAGGAAAAATAGTATTTGTCTATTTCCATTTTTAAACTAAAACTTCCCCTCAGAGTCTCGGTATTTATCTGTTCCAATTAGGATAATAGGATAAAGCAACATAAATTCGATGGCCATTTAGGGTGTTGGCTTCAATCTAGGACAATGCTTTTAGCACGTTTTGAAATTCAAGTAGATGCTTAGGAGTTAAAGATCTTTTTAATATATTCCGTTCTTGTTTAACAATTTATAGATATATGACCAAACACACACACACTTGTTATTAATAAGTTAACAACCTTGCTTTCTAGATTCCTTTGTTTTAAATTAGGACATTATGTCATCTGTTTTAATTTATTTATATCGTTACAGTTCCTAATCCTAATATCAATTATCAATTTGTATATTTTATGACTGTTATCAGTGCAGTCAATGAGTTGAAAGACTCAAGAACCTATATTTATATACTTGTTCTTTCTGCCTAGTGTTTCTGGTGTTCAGTGGTGCGTGTAGGACCTGTCTCGGGTCGTTACAAAATGATTTACCAAAAATAAATAAATAAATAAATTTTGAATGTCACTTTGATGTTTTAAAAATATTAGGTATCTAAATAATAAAATCATTTCATATTCTACAACACTTTTTGATAAACTACAGTGTTATAGATCTTCAAAATGTGACATTCATTGTCACATATTAGTATTTTGAAATTGATCATACAAAATAAGATTAAGTAAAATGTAGCTTAATTTTTTTTTTTACATCAAAATTAATCACTAAAGAAATAAACATAATAAAATTTTGGAGAAATAAATAACACTTAGAGCATCTCCAATTAAAGCTCTTTGAGTTGTTTAATAATAAAATATTATTTTGCATGTCATATCACATGTTTTTGGTTGTTTAAATTTAAAGAGTAGTTGTTTACATAATCAACCACTTCTCCTGAGTTGTTTAGCATTTTAGTGTGTGAAAGTAAAAGAGAGAATCCAGGTATTGAAAAGAGAAAAGATATTTTTAAATTTGACAGTTTTTTTATAGGAACTTCTGTTAAAAGAAAAACTAAGTGTCAAGTTATTTAAAATTGAAATGATATATATAAACTCACTTCTAAATCTAATTCATAAAATTTGAAAGAGTGAAATTATACAATTATCATAATTGAGGACCAGAGTTACATCAAAGTCTATATTTTATTAGTAAATTCAAAATAAATTGCTTACAAAACAATGTTTCTTTTGGTACATTACAAAACAATATTTAATTATAGTTTTACACTTCTGCGTAAAACTATAATTATAATCAAGAAATTAATAAATATTCAAAAGCAGGAAGCAAATCGAAAATAATTAAAGTAAATTATTATAATTAAAAAAGCAAAACTAAAACTAAAATCTATAAATAAAAGCACAAGCAAATAAAATCTTAATTTTCTCATGACTAGCTAGGATATCATAATTTGATAATGAAGTAGTGAATGAGGCTTAGAGTTAGGTCTGGACATGTTTTTCTCCGGTGACAAATGAAGACGAATTCAAGGTTGGACATATATATGTGTCAATGTTGTCATCATTTCTTGTTATGGTATTTTTGTTAGATGTGGACAATAATCAAGTGGAAATGTGGGATGCCAAATTAATTAGCTATATATTCTGTAGATGGTCCTCATTCAATGTATAGTTAAGGCCACTGTCATTTAGGACACTACTATTAACTATAAGGCTTCAAGATGAGGGTAACAGTAAGGAAAATACTGGAACAAAATATTAAGCCATAAGTGTAACCCTAAATAAACTATTAAATCATGATAAATATGTTAACTTTACCTATTTTTAATTATTTTTTCAATCAAAAGACATTTTCATTTTCTTTGGTTGTTTTCACTATAATATTTAATTTTCTTCTATCATTATTATTAAGATTTATAGAAATAAATAAATCCCCGTAAAATAAGCTTATTTACAAAATTGTAACCAGCTTGTACCATTTATTTTTATTTATTCAAATAAGCTTTATGTTCTTCTTAATCCCATCCCCCCTACTTGGAAAACTAAGTTTTGAGTCTTTCAACTCATTGACTGCACTGATAACAGTCATAAAATATACAAAATAGATAAGATCAGACATACCACTCCTAATCCAAGCAACGTGTAAGTGGTTAAACCAAAGCCAACTAGTGCACTTTTTCCAAAAGCACCCTGCAAAAACATGTAACAGAATTAGCATATTCTTTTTCCATCACTATGGACCTAAATTGTAATTCTCACCCCATCATATTATAGATAATTTAGAACAACAATTAGAAAAGGATGATGCCTTTTTACGTGTGAGAAATATATAAAAGATATCTAATCATGTGAATGAGAATATTCTTATTGTGAGTTCAATATATTCACCTCTTCCAATGAAAAAAATATACATGTCCATGCCATAGGTTGTAAATAGTATACCAAAGCTCAAAATATCTTTTAACATCTAGTAATTATCATGTCATAAAAAATACATATGAAACATGAATTAAAGCTGGTTTGAATTTTGAACTATGTAACCCCTGGAGACACATAGGTTGTAAATTTTTATACCTAAGGTCAATATAGTATTACCTTTAACATCAGATCATTATCAAAAGTCATAAAACAAACATATGAAATATGAGTTAAAGCTAGTTTGAATTTTGACCTTATGGGATCCCTGGGGACACCAGGAAATAAATCAAAAAGTCCAAAACAATCATCAATCATCCTTAATAACAAAGGAGTAATGCCATGAATCATACATACAGGGTTTTATTCTTCAAAGACTTACCTTTACCTCCTATACTAAACTACCTTAATAATATATATGTTATTATTCCTAGATCCATGTGAAAAGTATTTGACTAATATCTCATTCTAGTTTCCCATTTCAAACCTTCCCCTTTACAGGTATGTCCCCACTTATTAAAATCTGACGTGGGCAAAGCCATGTCATAGCAATGTCTTCCCTTTTAATTTTTTAAGCATTTTCCCCAAGAAAGGAATAAATAGAAATAATTAGGTCTTTTCTTATATCTCCAATTTCTGACAAAGGCCCCACTGTTGGTCCTAAAATGATTACATATCAAAAATCAGCTCAGTGATTCCAAAACCACTTAAACACCGTAACCCTTGGTACCAAAACGGCCAGCCCATTTGTGATTTTCATGATCTATAAATATATCTTAAAATATTTACTGCATTCCAATGTGTTCATAAAAGGTCATGACATCAAGAGGCACCAAGGAATAAGCATATGTTGAACCTAACATTGGTTTTCTTTTTCATTCGTTCATTCATGCCATGTCAGAAAAATCATCTGTCCTCTTATTTTCTGTCTCTCCTCATTTCATTTCCCGGACAATACATTCAAATAAGCTTTATGTTCTTCTTAATCCCATCCCCCCTACTTGGAAAACTAAGTTTTGAGTCTTTCAACTCATTGACTGCACTGATAACAGTCATAAAATATACAAATTGATAATTGATATTAGGATTAGGAACTGTAACGATATAAATAAATTAAAACAGATGACATAATGTCCTAATTTAAAACAAAGGAATCTAGAAAGCAAGGTTGTTAACTTATTAATAACAAGTGTGTGTGTGTTTGGTCATATATCTATAAATTGTTAAACAAGAACGGAATATATTAAAAAGATCTTTAACTCCTAAGCATCTACTTGAATTTCAAAACGTGCTAAAAGCATTGTCCTAGATTGAAGCCAACACCCTAAATGGCCATCGAATTTATGTTGCTTTATCCTATTATCCTAATTGGAACAGATAAATACCGAGACTCTGAGGGAAAGTTTTAGTTTAAAAATGGAAATAGACAAATACTATTTTTCCTTTGATTCCAACACTGACCCAAATAACTTTAAAAAATGACAATCTACCAATTCTTGTCCATGCCTGGTAAATATTGTTAGTAATGTATTTTTCACCAGGTAAAGCTTAAAAGGTGAGACAAGATACCTGCACTGCTCTTCCACCATCAAGGCACCCCACTGGAAGCATGTTAAAAGCTTGTATGGTTAAGCCACACCTGCAAAATCATAATAAATAAATTAATTAAGTAAATAAGGCATATTGTAAAAAATGAATGGTCAACAGTGTTTGGAACCACAAATTTATTAAATTGATTTGTCGATGAAATTAAATTAGGATACAGGAGGAAAAGTTGAATACCAGCCTGCAATCACAAGAGGGTGAATTGGAACTGTTGCAGCGTGCATTGTTCTGCACATTGACATTAGCAAATAGCAATGTATCAATGTTTTATCCACTTATTTTAAGAATAAGTCTTAGTAAATTATTATTATTATTATTATTTATAAGAGAAAAAACTGAAATAAAAGACAAAATAAACTAATTTTTTTCTTAAATTAAAATTAGTTTATATATAGATTAAAATTCATTTTTGGATAAGTTAAATGAGTATTTTTATAAATTAGGGTTTTTATAAGTTAATTTTAACTTACAAAGAAACATAAAGCTTATTAATTTAGATAAACTTTTTACATAAATATTTACAAAAAAAAAAAATGAATTAAGAAAGTAATATAAATTGAGTTTCTCTCCTGAGATAAAATCATACAGACCAACTTTTAGAGATGTTAAATAAGATAATTTTTATAAAAAAAAAAGTGAAGTTCATATATAAGTTTATTTTAGGTTATGGACAAAAGGTGAAATCGTTGTATCTTCTCATTCTCTTTTATGCTTAATTCATTTTCCTTTCTTATTTTTTCCTTTTAACTTATTCTTCTTGTGCTCATGAAGGCCGACAAATATTTCTTGCTTCAATGAAAAGCATTCAGTGGGGGAAAAAGTAGTTTTAATAAAAGTGAGATTTGAGAATGAAGGGCCACGTCTCATTGTGAATGTGGTAAGAAAGAAGCTTCCGGTGTCCGTTATAAAACAGGTTAATAAATGCTTTTTGTTCCGTTTTTGTTGTCTTCATTAGAATAATGTCATATGATATTTTTTATTTTGAAGGCCATGCAAGCCATGCAAATTAATGTAGCAATATCAATCAGATGGCAATTGATGTCGATGACCACAATTCACAACAAAATCTTGATTTATTCAATTCATTACCTTGGCTTGTTAATCATGGTAATTTCTTTTTTAAAGGTCCTGTTATACCCAAGACATTGGTTAATTGAGAAATGAATAATGAAAGTTATTTGTTGAAAATTATATAAGAAATGTGTTGTTTTCAATAAAAAGAATTCTTTTACTCTTAAGTTAGCATTAAGATATTAATAAATAATAATTTATATTTTACTATTAATTAAGCAACTAATTAACACACTTTTCATTAAATTTTAAACAACAATTGATCTTGGATATACTCATATGGGTTTGGTATTTGGTGAACTAAGTAGTTCTTGCATCATAATTTTTGAGCAATTTTTTTTTATTTGATAAGGAAATATAATCCCTTCTTACTAGATTAGTCTCTATATGGGTTAAGAGTAAAGTTATACCTTCAGTCATGACTTTAAATTTAAGACAGAGATTAACCTTTAATCTTTAATTAAAGAACATAAATGTTAAGCCAATTGAACTTAAACAAAGAAATAAATTACAAGATTTTATGAGAAATTATTTGATACACATTCTCCCATTATTCTTTATAAATGTTATTAAATCACATAATTAATTATACCTTGTGATGTGAAGGAGGGGGAAATAGGGTATAAGACATTTGATGATTAAATAACTAACAAATCTAGCTAGATTAAAAAATAAAAAATAAAAAAGAGGACACATTCTAACTTAAGTGTTAAAGTATCTTTTTTATAGTTTCTCTTTATTATTTGGAGTGGTAGAGGCTTCAAAACCTTCCATTAAAATTTTATTTTGGTAAGCATATTTACTCAATGAAATCCCTTAATATTAGAAGTAAAATTCCTTCTTGTGAGTCTATGTTGATCCTCAATTTGATAAATAAAGTCTTTAATCAAATAAAACATTATTAAAATTTGGTCAACCACTAATTAAGTTGATGGTGATACTTGACCTAAAAATCTCTAACATGTCATTAATTCTTTGTCCAACAGAGTTATGAAGGTGGCATCTCATATTTATCATTTCTCAATCACAAAAAATAAATAAATAACAAATTCATGAATTTTTGCACGAATACAATACTCGATTAGTGGGTTTAGAGTTTAGGATTTAGAGTTTAGGGTTTATCAAAAGTTAATTAATTAATTAGGTGATTCTTGTCCTTCTTTTGATTAAATTAATCGATAAGTATCATTATCCCTACTTGAATCTTATGCCCACCTCTCTCTAATTCAACTAAATACATTTAAATGAAAAGAAAAAAAAAAGAGACAAAAATGATATTAATTATTTGACTGAAGATAAGAAAAAGAGACAAAAAGAAAGTAAACCTAAACCCATTATTGTGGCTCTATATCCGTGCACTCAGCTCAAGTTTCCCATCTAATAAGGTTAATTAAGGAAACTTCCTAAACAACAACAACATCATCCATTAGATATATAGTATATGTCACTTGTTCATCCCCAACCTCAACAAGTTTCAACTTCCCCGTCTTGAAGTGCCTCTATAATAAGTTAGGGAAATTTCCTAAAGTCGTACAACAATGTCAACATTGATCATGTTAATTATTTAGTCCTTCATTGGATTTGATTTATTCTCTATTCTCCTGTTTGTTTTCAATCATCAAACGTTTTCTGTGGCGTTACCGTTGCTGTTCCGGTTACACAGCGACGAATGTTGTCTTTTACGTAAACCACAAATAATATTGGGCATATATTAATATTTTATTTTATACTATACCCTCTTCTCATCATAGCCACGCAATTTTTATCCACTTTACTCATTTTCCAGTGAATAATTCAACCAAGTTTGCACGTGGGAGGAAGTGGATTATTGTACAATAAACACGTTTTTTTTCATGCAATAATATTTGTAACTTTTGCTCATTACTATAGTTTTTTCCCTTTATTTAGATCTATTATTTGAACATACCAAAAAAAAACTGAGATCACATATTACATCATGTACAGTACCTCTCTCTCACTTTTTCATATATACACATAAATACAGTACATATAACATCCTGAAGACGATATCCGGAAGACGATATGGACGAGCAGGGATGACAAATAAATCTATACTTGTTGGTAATATCTAAAAATAAATCTATACTTGTTGGTAATATCTAAGTGCTAACTTTGACGGGAAATACTTAATTTGATTGAGTACGAATATAGGTAAAATTTGATATATTAAGCCGGGTACGCGTATAGGTATATACATACTCGCCTCGTACTCGTACCCGTACCCGTCTCCGATTAAATTATGTTAAAGAAAAAGTTTAGTATTTTATTATGTGTAATTATTTATTATAATATAAAATATTTATAGTTGTTTAATTATTAAAAAATCTCTTGATTAAAATATGAGATAGAGAAACAATTTATTATAATTATAATATAATAAAAAATAATTTAAAAATATTATGTATTTTTTTTATAAAAAAATAATAATAATTTTTACAAGTACGAATACGAGTACAAGTATATCTGATATTTAAAGGGACAAAGATAAGAACAGAAATTACATTCACAGCAAATACAAATACAAGTACGAGATGAATTTGAGTCGGGAAAATGGGAGTAAGTATCATAAAACATGTACCCGACCCGTTACGAACCTACGTACGGGAATCCTATCCCTGCAACATACTATCATAGTCGCATAGAGAATAATTGCTTTCTACTCATTTGCTTGTTAGGAAAAGCCACATGACTGGTTTATTATGAGAGAAAGTGAAAGAAAATTAAAAGAAATAAAGACAAATAATGAAAAGTTAGATAACTTTATAAATTATTTGATAAAAAAATGAAAGGGGAAAAAAGTTGAATATGAGTATTATATGAGATGTGATAAATATCGTGAATAAAATAAAGTTTAATGGTGATCAACAATGTAGTTAACTAATATAATTTATCATAAATGATAAGTTTATTGAATTTTATAATAATTTTTAAAAACATGATTATTATTTGATTGACTGTGTAAAAAAGTAAAACATGATTATTAAACTCATAAAATAATAGTGTATACAAAAATAAGAATGTTTTTTTTTATGATATTATTTTCTCTCTTTCTTTTCGATTTGACTGAGAAGACAGTATGGGTCCTACCCCTTTTTTAAGCATTCCCCCCTTTGGCTAAATAGTAATTTTTGATAAACTTTTATTTATTATAAAAGTTTTTTTAATAAAAATAAATATTCTTTTTTTACTTTTTAATGTGTTTGTTTAAACTCATTTATTTTTAAAATAAGCAATGTTTTTTTAAGAAGTAACTCTAATTTATTTCTTTAATAATTTTTTTAAAACTTATTTAGAAACATTTCATTTTAAATTTAAATAAATAGACCCATTATATCTTCTATCCAAATTGAGAAGAAAGAAAAGAAAAAAAAAAGGTAACGTTATATATTAAAAAAAATCCAGATTCCTTGTTATTATTTTCTCTTTTGTATATTTATTATGATGTGTTACAAATGAATGATAGATTTTAAGGTATTAATGTTATTAGATATGATGTTGTACATACCTGACTTTAATTTTTAAAAAAATTATATTAAAAAAATTAAAATACTCCCATTTATACTTTTTATTTTATTCAAACTATTTATGACATTTCAAATACAAACATTACTATATTCTTATAAGGTCAATTTGGTAGGAAAGGGTTATGTCTCCTTATATACTAAAGATAGTATACATGTACTTAAATTCTCATTTATTCCATTTTCTTTCCTATCAAACAATTTATAAAATCATCTCAGTTTCAATTTTTTTCTTTCTTTCTTTCTTTCGGTCCTTTCACTTTCACTCATAAATCAAGCATACCATTAATATATATTTGATAACATTAAAATTTAAAAGAAATAATTGTTTTTAAAGTTTCCTAAAGAAAATAATAATAATATTATTAATTTTAAAATAAGTTAAATCAATCGAGCAATTAGTTTTCATTTTTTTTATTTGTCTCCTAAATCATGAATAATTCATGGTAAAAAAAAATAGTTGATCTTCGTATTTTATTTTATTTTTCTTGTTGAACAGAAGTGATATTTCTACCCAACATGAAAAGTAACATTGTTAACTTTGACATGGTTCAAATTGTATCATAAAGCTGACTTCCCATACGATATTGACCTAGAATTTGAGATAAAGCCTCGCATGATACCATTTCATGCGATATGATTTCTATCTCCATCTTTGAAAAAATGAAATTATACTTCCCATGCCAGAAATGCTTAAATGATTTTAATCTCTCTTTTGTTCAAAAAATAAATAAATAAATAAAACACTTTTTTTCTCGTTAAATTGATGTGTTATATTTAAATTTACACTAACGTAAGTAATTCGATCAAAAGCAATTTTATTGAAAACTAATTTCAAAACCCTATTATTAATTTGGAACGTTAAAAGTTTAAGTATAAATTTCGGGCTAAGTTCCAAAATCAAAACATATTTAAATTTCATTTTACTTTCTGAAGTTCTACAAGCAATAATAAAGTTTTAAAGGTGTGGATCATTTTCATTAAAATAGACTAAAATATAACAAATACAAATTATTTCTCACAAAAGAGAAATGTAATTTTTAAAAATTGGGGGGAAAAAAGCAATTTAATTTGTCATTTCTCCACAAAGAAAGTGCAATTAAAAAAAAAAACTCAAATTCGTGCACTATGGACATTTAGCCTATGATACCCATTTGTTGGATGTATATTGTGCTGTTATATAGATCCATATGATCCAAACTCCAAATAATGTTGCCTGTTGTGCTACTGCAGATCGAAGCACTTGCTTGGTTTTCTATAAATACATAGTAAATAGAAAACAAAATTAATAACAACTTTTACAAAAGAAATTGGCTTAATTAACCTTTAACTTCTTAGTGCAAGAGAAGAAAGGTGAGACTTTATCTATAACTATATATAAGAAAAATATAAAACTTTAGTATACACAGTCTTCAATGTTATTTAATCTATATGACTATCTCAAATCACTCGCTCTAATTATAAACCACTCACTATTATTTAACCTTTATTATTTGTATCTTTTGTTCATTTTTTTAGATAAATAAATGGAGATTTGAGTACCTCTTTTTCTCTAGTAATAAAGTTATATATATATATATATATATGAAGAAAATTTAAATAAATTGTTAGATCTTGAAAATATATATTACGAAATTAGTTTTTATTTGTGTTTAGTTTCTAAATTAACTTTAAGAAGTGTGGTTCTAGACTTCTAGTTTGTATAAAAGCAATAGGCACAATTGCTTTAACCAAAGTTGATTTTCTTTGCTTTTTGGTTAGAAAGCAGAATTTCTCAATTGACTGAGGAATGTTGAAGCCTTCAGAGAACGGATAATTTGTTGTCTTTTATAATTATCTTAAGAGTCATGCCTAAAATGATTTGTGATTTCTCGATTTTATTAAAAAAAAAATTAGATTGACAGGATATGAACGTTGAACTGTTTTTTAAGCTGCTTCACAACAACGAAAGTAGAACCAAATCATTTGAAAAAATAATAAAAGACTAAACCGACTCGAAAAATTCTTTTTAAATAAGATTCTCATCAAACTTCTGATAAACACAACTAATCCTGTAACAACGAATAAAAAGTAACAAGACACCCAACAATATCTTGAACAGAATATTAGCTCTATCAAACAAAAAAAAAATCACCCAAAAGGAAAGAAAACGAAAGAGACAAAATTAAAGAAAATGCCTAATTATTTATATATTTTTTTCTCAATTTATTTCTTTCCTCTCATTCAAACATACCATCTAGGGTGATTTATCATTTAAACTAAAATGAAAACATCTCCAACCAGAACTCACATTATAATGAAGGTGAACAGATGCACTCCCTCACTTTAATTAAATTATTAGTCTAAGTTTAAAAATATTGTATTTGGCATCCCTAATTTTATATATTGAACTCATGATGATTTTTTTTAACATTTATATTTTATTCTTTGTAAATATATAATGATGATGAGTATTAATTTTTAATTTTTTAAAAAAATTGCTCCCATTAACCTGGGAGTTTAGATCCGCCACTGTGGACCCCACCACACTAATAAGTAATAACAATCGAGACAAGCCACAGATGCAATCTCTGACTGTGAACTATTAACAACCAACAAGAAATATGCACAATTGCTAGCAGAATGGGCAAAGATTGGATTCTAACTTAACAATATATACTTAAATAAGCTGTTTGCAGTAGTATAATTCAACACGTATTGAAAGAAGTCATGCTAAAGAATTCATCTCACATCAATTAGCTACTAGCTTAATCCTAAACAAGTAAACTGTTCACTGAACCAATTCTGCATTAATATCACTGTATGAGTTGCATTGTCTCTTTAGTCAGAGGAAAAAGTTCTATATATTCCATGAAATCATCACCCTAATTGCACAGATCAGAATGAATCACCTAGTTCATTCAACCTACCATTCCCAATTAGTTTACAGTAATTAGCATGTATCTTCATTTCTTGCCCTCCAGGAGTATTCTTGGAGACTCCATAACTTTGCATCTGATTAGGTGCATCACCTGATAAAACCAAATGTTTACCCAAACACTAATGAAAACAAGATAAAGAGGAAAACCAAGGATATCAGCAAAGTATCCTTACCCCTTTCTAACACATCAACCACTTTACCAAGTGCTTCAGTTATGGCTATTTCTTGTTCCTGGGCCAAATTATATATTCGTATGATAAACTTTGTTAGAATTGTCTAAAGGGTGAAGACAAATATTTAAGGTAGCACAACGAATATCAAAAGGGCAGAAATTACCCTAAGAGTCCTTTTTGCCCTCTCAATATCAACTGGGTCAGGTTTCCCACTACTGAAAAGCATCTTCTCAACCTGGCAAAAATATTGAAGCAACAGATTGCAAAAAGAATTATCCAAAAACTGAAATTACAGTATATATTAATTGATTGCTAAATGAATGATGTATTAAACAACATATAGGTAAAAGATCCTGCTCAGAAACTCGTTGAGTAGACAATAGGTATCAAATCATGAACATGAACCAAAATACATGGAACAGTAAAACAGAAACCATACATGACAAATCATTTAGTCCATGAAAAAATGCTATTTGATATGAATCATAATATAACCACATAGATACCCTAATGGCCTATTGAATCATAATAGCAACCTCATGGTTTACTTAAACTAATCTTAACCAAATTATACAAGATATTCAGATATGAAATCCATGGATTTACCAATGCATTATTGGTCAATATGCGAATATTCAGATGCTTTACAAATGCATTTCACAATTTACTTTATCAAGTAAACAGTGGAATAGTGTTCCTTTAATCGGGCTTCTATTCTACCCTTATCATTTATTAAGGTTAAAACTTATAATTTTACTATCCATTCCAGAATTATGAACATAGAAAATATTGACATAGTAATTTGTCTTTTCTTCACTAATATTCTCTCTATCTTTAGATGAGAAAATAAATATTAAATATTTACCAAAAAAAAAATATAGAGATAGACGTTAAGAGCATAGAATAAGCAAATAAGCAAAGCCTGTCCGTCTCCCTATAAACCACTTTATAAACTATTATTGTAGGTACGCCAAACCACACCATAATCTGATCTCGAACTCAAAAACTCAATTGATCACAAGAAAATATCTTGAAACATGTGACTTCACCATAATCTGTCCTCAAGGGCAAGAACTTTTTTCTTTTTTGATCAACAAATAAAACAATAAATTAAAAAGGTACAAGAAGTACCTTAAACCCGTATACAAGAAAACAAAGAGATTATCCTATTACATCAGCCTGGTTAGAGCTAACTCGTATTTGAAAAATACAAATTACTGACTAACCATGTTTACTATAAAAATGGAACCATTGACCATGAGACACACTTCAACCCCTGCAATATTTCGGTTGACTCTATTTCCTCGAACCATTCTAGCAGTTTCTACACATTAACTCTTTCTAAAATTACTAGCACGTTGGATCTACTCATATACATAGAACCATAGTATATAATGAGATTCAAAGCCTCCACATGGCACCAACATCATATGACTGTAATGTATAGAATCAATATCAGTAAAAAGGACAAGAACTTATCCTCATGAGGTGCAAGTCCTCCAGATTTAATAGGCTAGGCTCCTCCCAGCTTTTATTGAGGTAACAGAACAAGTTTCCCTCTTATTACACAAATTAAGGAACTCAAAATTTGAGAGAAGAAAAGAGAGACAGGTGGAAAAGTTGGTTAACAGTAAAAGGGTTTAACATATATAATTTAAAATAAATCCGAAAATTAAAAACATTATTGAATAATTGAAACACTAACCTACTTTTTGAAATATCTAATAAAAACCACTTTCGAAACTACTGGCATTCTTAACCCTATCTGCCTCCTCATCAGCACCCTCCCCCCAACTGTATTTACCGATTCAATAATCATCGAATATTGCAAAACCATATTCCGAATACATACTGACAAAGTTGATAAGTACATAGGTAAAGTGGGTTTATTAAGATAGACAACGATCATCAACATCTAAACATGGCTTTATCCACTACAAAGTGTATTTTCTGGTTATCTCTTCATATCTACAAGTTCCATGAACAGCCAGTGAAAATGAAAATAACAACTACATGCAAATGAGGATTTTGCTTACATCATGGATAACCATATCTGTAGCACGAATCTGAATTATATCAGATTTTTTCTTTAACTTGACGCAGTCAGATCTGTGAAAATCCTTCTGCAATTGGTGCTTTCCTTTCAGCACTCTCCCTCCTCCAGTAGGTGGTAACTGAACTTTATAATTGAACATTTCCATAGAATGCTCCACATTTCCGTGGGCAAATTCAGCAGTCAATGGGACCTCGTTAAATTTTGGCTGGCACAGACAAATTAAATCACAATTGATAAGCCAGAGACTCAATGGTTTTTGACATGCAACTGTATCACAAACTGGCTGGTAATGTTCTTAAGAAATGTTCCAAGAAAAATTAAAAAAGAAGAAACTACCAAAACAAGCTATTCTAATATGAGAAACGTTAAATTTGTTGCCTTACTAAACTGTGTATAAACATTTTTGCACAGAAAAACATTCATAATTACATATATCACAAAAATGCATCTGATTATCTAAATGATATCCTTTGAGTCTTCGACATTATCTTACAGTTAAATTTTACAAGTCATCCTAAACTTCCAGGATAATCCCACAGGCTTTTTCTCTCTGGAAAAAATAGTTAGCAGGAACAGTTATACTACATGAAAATGGTTAAAATCAAAACACTAATCAAAATTGTTGAAGTTACCAATAGATGAAAATGAAATTGATTAGAAATCTCTTTCTTGGGACTCAGAGGCATGGCAATGCAATTGAAACAAGTTTAGATTTTAGAGAATTAATTTTGAACAAAACAATTTTTAAAACGGGTTGTGGAAGAATAGTTTTTGATAAAAGAAGGAATTCATTAAAACAAGGACAAAAAATTACACAGAATGAAGGGCACGGAATATTCAATAACCTAAGATCAAAAAGAAAAAAACACAAAAGGAGATGGAATAAGGAGATGGAATGGAGCAATGTTGTGGAGGCCCTCAACATATCTACTAGAGAAACCAGACAAACTACATAAAAAAGCATATGCCTTAAACCAAATAGAAGCCATTATATGCCCATTTTTTATCCTTAGGTCAAAAAATACAATTTAACAATTTACCAAATAAAGACCCAAGACATGCCTAAGATTCAATTTACCAAAAATGCCAAATAAAAAATACCATAACGAAACAGAAGCGGAACAGTATGAGAACAGGTATGGGAATGAACATAGCAAGCATCATACATTACACATATACCAGGGGAACAAGCTTTAGGCAGCCTCCAACTAAAAATATGTCATTAGAATTAATTCTACAAACTATAAAGTACTGTGTTTACAGTACAAATAAAAGACTTGACACTAAAGGGAGCTTTAGAGTTCCAAAGGAATTTATCAAGAAGAGAAGTAAAACCATTCAAAGAATGTGTTAGGAATTGGAATATTATATATGTGTGTCTGCACGCGTGCATGAAAAAACAGCTAAAAGGTCAAATCCTTTAATTTGTACCAGAAGAAGATCAATGAATAGAGTCAAATTGATTGCATAAGAACTGACCATACAAAGGTAAAAAAACAACTGGAATATATTGTTAGACTAAATTTCTTTTCAAATATCAAATTACCAAAATGTGTTTACATTAAAAAATTGTAAATTCATGATAAGGGTATTTATGTAAACATGTTGTATTAGGAAGTGTGAGAATTGATTTTTCAATCACAAGTAACAGTTTTTCATTCTAACTTTTAGACCCCAACATCAATTCTCAAACTCCATAATTCATAATTTTTGCCTAAAATGTATACATTCTGTTCAGCCATAAATCAGCCTTGTTTCAAGAGTGTCTAGAATCTAAATAAAACTAACTTTAGATGCATGTGAGAAGGCAATACAAACTTCATATTTGTATTAGGCTTGATTTACTCACGGGCATTGAAGAAGGAACAGGAATAGAAATTAGAGAAGCTTGGCTGCGTGACATTTTCTTCTGGGTAAAAAGTGTAGCAGAGGATGGAGTTTTTAATCTTATCATTGAATTTCCCATCGAAACAGAAGCACAAGCAGGAGCACTAGCTTTAATATAATCCTTAGCATGAGATGACAGTTTTCTCTGCTCCCTGCATGTTAAATGTCAATAGTAAAGATTCTGCATCATCATGACAATAAAAAATAAATAAAATTGTGCATCAGGGATTTAGCTCTTCAAGAGTGAGCAAATGAGTAAAGTAAGAAAGTAAAAGAGCATCTACTGTTGATTTGAATTAAAGTAGCTCTTAATCTTAACTAACCTTAGATCAAAAGTATATCCACCCTTACTTTCTCACTTTATACATTTACTCACTTTAGAGGAGCCATATCCAGGCATAAAGTATGAACAAGAAAACAATCACCTTATTCGCTTAATTAACTCATCTGAATTTATTTTCGTTAGAATTTCTCCATGTTCAATATCTGTAATGTTTAGTTCCTTTCGCAGCTCAGTCATAAGCCCCTCTTTTCCCTGCAGCCACAAACAAATTTTCAGCAGCTACATTGCATGGACAATTTGCAGGAGTACACTCAATAAGAAGACAAACTTGTTCGCAGATAACAGGTTTAGAATAAATATTAGTCTACCCAAGTAAGAAGATCAGATTGAGCAATGAAAGCCTTCAAAATAGAAGTATAAGCCTCAGTTTCCAGATAGTGAACATGACGCTCCAAGTCTGTTACATTCCTTATCCCATGAGGATGAGGTTCTGTAGTCGACGGAATAAAGAGACCAGCTATTAATAAACACTTGACATCATCAATAAACTCACATAATGCATTAAACCTTTACTTCCATTGAGAAAAATCAATGTCATCAACAGTAGTTACACATAACATGAGCAGCCATGAGCCAAGTACATACATTGCATAAAATCAATGGCATTTATGGTAAATTACATGCACATTTATGAATTGGGTGGAGTATCAATGCCATTAGTATAGTATCTTCACCGCAGGTATATATAATTCTATATCTTATGATGACATCAGATGTTGAAGAGCCAAGTGGGGCATAACAAAAATAAAAGGCAGATCACGGATAATCCTGCAATAAAGTGATTCATGGGTCCAGTTTTCAATAAATAACACCACCAACATTCACAGATCCTTTAATAAATTATTCCACCATAAAAAAATAGAGGAAAAAAAAAAAACAAAATTCAAAGGGCTGACCAAAAGGTCAACCACATGTCACCAAAAATCTAGGCAGCACACAACACAAGTAATGTCGGCCACTGTAAACATCATACATACTCATGATCACACTTTACTTATAAACAAAACTATTTATTTATTTATTTATTTATTATGATCCATGTAGCCAACCTTACCTAGAAGTACAAGGGTTTTGTTGTCATAAAATAAACAATTAGGATGCAACAAACAACACAAGCAAGGAGCCATTGGTAACACAAATGCCCATTTCCAAAAAAAAAAAAAAAAAAAAAAAAAAAAACACACACACACAAAGCTCTTTTGGGTTCTGACTTGTGACCTTTGTTTGACTTTTAAGGGTCCCATGCCCATTAATTTATTTACTTATTTATTCATTTCTAGTTGAGCAAAGAGAAACACAATGCATGAAGAAATGATGATGGAAGTTAACAATGGAAGAGAGAGAGAGAGAGGGAAGGTTTACCAATGGCAACAGTGCGGTGCTTGGTGTCGTATGTATAATCCATCATCACTCACACTCACAGTAACCCCTTTCTTCGTCTCTTCAATGCTCAGCCTCGTTCCTTAAACCGAAAGTTTTTTCAACTTTCATTTTTTTCTTTCACAGTTTAAATTTTTCACTTATTCCACACTTTCTTCTTTCTTTCTTCTTCGGTGATTCCATTTTCATTTTTATATCTCTTTTTCCAAACTCATAAAAATATATCTTTTTTTCCTTTTCTTTTCTCTTTTAAAACTAAAAGGTTAGGATTTTTTTCAATAATTTTTTAAATTATTTTTAATTTAATTTAAATATATTCACTTACACTATTACTTGATCATATATATTTTTTTAAGTAAGCTTTGTTCATTATTTTGTTGTGATAATTGAATATATTTTTCTTAGTTATAACGGTGTAGAATAAAAAAATAAGGTTGTGTTTTTAATGAGAATAAATGTAATTCTTTTCTTTTAAGTTGGGTTTGGTTGTGAGATAATAATTTGATGAAAAATATAATAGAGATAAATAAATAAATAAATAAGAGAGAAATAGATAAGAAAGGAAGTGAAATTTAAAGAGTTTGGTTTAAGAGAAATAAAAAAAAAATAATGTTATATATGTTTAGTAGGTGAAAAGAAATAAGTATAATATGGATATATGAAAATTGGAATAAATTAATATGAGAATTATAAAAATTATAAAAAAAATTTAATTAATTAAATTAAATTTTATTTAATTATTTTATTTAGACCAATTAAACTAAAAGATTTAATCAATTATAAAAAAAGTTATAATTTATTGTATAATCAATTATGAATTAATAAAGATACTTTCGAAGGTAATCCACTGTGCACTACAATTAAAAACTTTTAGATTACTTAATCTCAAATTATTTTAATATATTATTCGCACAAGGATATTATTCATCTCTTTCTTTTTTCACCTTTCAACAATCCATCATCCATGACCACCATGAACCATTGTGAAAGTGATTTTTTGCTCATCATCGACCACTATGTACCACTACATTGGTGATTTCTGGCTTATTACTAACCATGGCACAGTATAATAGAGGTGATTTTTGGCTCACCACTAACCACCATGCACCATTATAATGATGATTTTCAGGTCATTATTGGCCACCATGCACCATTGTGAAAGTGATTTTTGGCTAACTTTTGACCTCCATGCATCATCATGAAGATAATTTTTAGCTCATCGTCAACCAATGTGCACCACCATGAAGTTGATTTATGACTTGGTCGTCAACCACCATGCACCATTGTGAATGAGGTTTTTAGTGACATTTCATTTTTCCCCTTTTATTGTCCCCATTTCATCCTAAATTTGAATGGTTGTCCCAGATTAAAACCAAAAACCCTGTTTATGTCTGTCACAAATCACTCCACACTTGAATCCATGTTCTTCCTTTCATTTTTGGGGTCAAAAATGAAATATTATTGCCTTCTTTCACAAATTGCTTCATGCTTAATCAAAAAGGAGGAGTAACAATTTTCTTTGATTTACAGCTTCAGGACAACTAGTTAACTGGCATCGTTTCACTTTGAGATATGAATCATTTTTGTCAAAAATCGCCTTTGGCAACACTATACAATAGTTAGTGATAATGTTGTAAGGGAAATGAAGAAACAGTGCTGGTATGATAAAAAAAGGGTGCATGACAAAGTTATGAAGATCAAATTAATTTATAGGTCATTAAATGTGGTGTATGGTGGATCACATGTGATTGTTGTCTTATCATTATCAATAGATCCATATTGAACCTTATACTCAAGGTTTTAAGACAAATATGAAACATTGAAATTTGTGGAAGATGAAGAGGTACAAATCGGATGGCGTGTGGCCATAAACCATTTTGAATCACACGATTGGGAGGACATTTAGGAAGTTGCATGGGGACTAGCTCTCTTAAAGCGAAAAAGGTCCAACAAATTGTATGAATAGACAATGGATGCATCAGGAGAGGTGGGCATCGAGAAGAGGGATTATGTGGAACAATAAGAAGATTGCGTGGGTAGGATGAATAAATGTTTTTGCAATTTGGAATTAGAGGGGTCCTAGAAAAATCCATAGGTCGTGAATTTGGAGATGTTTAAGGATGGTTATAGGACAACACTCTCCTAAATTTTCCCCCATTAATACCACACACTTTTTTCTTGTTTGATAATCTCATTCATCCAACAAAATATTTTGCACAAACCAAATCCCACACGACATCATATCACCTATACTCCCTTATCCAAATTATAAACCCCACCCCACAAATGCATTTCCACAATCCTCGTTCACTCCTCCTTTAAAAGTAGAGAAGAAACTTTTAAACCATATGTAACAGTACAAATGGATGCATCTAGAAAATAACTAGAAGAGAAGGTTGCAACAAATTTTTCTTTTCCACTTGTGATAATACCAATAACCAATTTTCTACAATTAATCTTGCATCTCTCTTATACCTCACCCTGTCATTTAATTTATTTTACATTTCACATTTTGTTACAATTATATTACCTACAATCAAATCTTTATTTATCTCTAATTTTAATAGTTTAGATTTACCTCTAAACCTTGAGGGCAAGGTTCAATGTGGACTTACGGGTAATGTTAGAATGGGCCTACAAAGGCCAAAATACCTTAAAAATAAAGTGATTGAAAGATTATATCGGATAAAGTTATATTTTTTTTATTCTCTTAAAATAATGGGATGTTGACACATGGATAAATGTTATCCATTAATTGATATCTAGTAGGGTTATATAAATGTATCCTTTTTAGATGTTATCAGAGAAATATTAGTTTTATATCTTAACTTTTATGTAGGTTTTTATTTTCTTTCATGGCTCTAATGTTAGTTTTCTTAGCATAGTAGTAGTCATATAAATAGTTCTTTATCATCACTATTGTTTCGTTTAGCAAATAAATAAAAAGTGACGTGTCTCACCATTTTTTATTTCTTTCTTCTCTTATTACTTTTCAACTAAACACAAACTTTTATATTTCTTACTTCTATCCTTTATTTTTCACTCATTTCACCTCTATCAAATATATATAATTGTCAGTATACACAATTTGACTTGCTCATTAACAAATTTTTAAAAAAAGTTAAGATATACCATAAAATCCTTAAGTAGTTAGAGTATTTAGATTTATTATCATTTATGAGAATGAAATTGTGAACAAAACATTCTTAAATTTCATATAAAATTATTTTTAATTTTTATGCAAACTTTAAAAATTCGATTTTAGATATTGGAACAATGTTGTTGTTTGGGTTTTATAGGGGGGAAGGTATTGAGTATTATGCCAACAATGCAAGATATTGGTTGACAATGTTTTTCGTATTTTATTGCTAATTTCCTTCAACAATCTTAGGACTTTTGAATATTTTTGCGAAAAAGTTTGATGTGCAATGTAAACTTGTAACATTAACTTGTGGATTAGTCGTATGGAAGAATACAAAGGTACCACAAGATTATACTTTACAATGTATCATTCCTTAGACAAGTATACTTGGGTAATTGAACATTTCTCATTCTCTTTCATTATATTACACTAGTGCATTCAATGGTAAAAAGAAATATTACACTTGTGCATCAAATATTATCATTGAAAGTGTCATTTCATCCATTATAATTTATTTTTGATTCTCCATTTTAATTTGTTTGTAAAGTGTGTAAGGAATTGTCATTCTCTGTCATGCAAATAGGACAACGTGACATAGATGTTATACCCCTTCTTTCCCATCAAAAATTTGTACACAGGCTTTCTTAAGTCACACGCCTCAACATGCACCTAATAGGTTCAAGACCTGACCACCTCCAAATCACCTTGAAAATATCATTTTGCATTCTCCCATTTGAATTATGAATAACATCATATGTTTCCTTAAATGAGAATGATCCATCTATAAAATTTTCCAAACAAAAACATAATTTCAACATCCAAAAAAGGAAGAGGATGCCTAATAATTTTGTACTATACCCATTGGAGCAATAAGTCGTATAAGTGCTCAATATCTCATACTTTTTGTGACTAGCATGTCATGCAACCTTTTTATCCAACTCCTCTAAAGGAACAAGGAGTACTCAACACTAAGAATGAAATTAACATTCAGAAGTCAAGGATCCAACCAAAAATTAACACCACTCTATCTCATATCTGCCAAATAATATTAGACTTCACATGCTTCCAAGTGTACACATTCCTTTCCAGCAATTTGAAGCATTCACTTTCTTATTAAAAGCAATAATGAGATTCAATGGGATCATGTCAAAGGGTGTCATCCAAAAGGAGCCCAAAGGAGTGGGTTGGGCTAGAAGGGCTTGGGAATATTAGGCCTATGTTGAGGTCAGTGGACCTTAGCTCATTTTGGGCTATGGGCACTAAACATATTATCCCAATACCTACCATATGTTTGTATATAGTTTCTTTACTTTGGGAATTGTATTGTGGGCCAAGTAGTCTAGTTGTTTTGGGTCTTATATTTTGGGTCAAGTAGTATAAGAAGTTCATTGTATTTTTTCTCTTGTATATTCCTATTCAAGCCAATGAGGTATAACTTTTATTTAGGCCTTGTAGTCAGATTTGAAATTGATTAAATAAGTCATGTGACCAACCATGTGGGAGGTGTACATGGTCTTTCTTAAACAAAATTCAAATACAACTTACATGGCATGCAAATTAAGTTTTAACCTCCTTAAATCTAGAAGCACATGGGTGCACGTGGTTATACCTAGGATTGAGGTGCCTAGCTTAACCAAGGCTAGGCGACCATGCTTCAACTTGAACCTTGGTTAACCTAGCTTACTCCATAAGTTTTTGAAGATCCCAATAAGCCTTTTTCTTTGTGCAATTCATCACTTTTGGAGATATATGAAAATTTAATTCAAAAATCTCTCAAATTCTCTCTTGAGTCACCTAGGAGAATTCACTCCTTAAGCACTTTCATCAAGGAAACTCTCCTTGTGGCAAACACATCCATTCTTACTTATCTCCTGCCTTGAGAGGTGGCACGCCACTTCCTATTCCTATCTCTCTATCTTTAACTTTTGTTTGATGATCCGTGGAAGGAGCTTGAAGAGCTTGGAAGATCCTTAGAGCAAGTCACGAATCACTACTTTATGAGGATTCCATCAAGATTTGTATAATTGACATGCATGATTTTCAATATTGGACATATGCTTTAATATTTTACTATGACACTCATGTAAGTGTGCAAGTGTTGTCTAGTCACTTGTAATGTTTTTTATTTGTATATTTTATCTGTAAATACATTTAAAATGTCTTTTAGGTGTAAATGCATTTATATATTTACGTGTCTTTTCTCACAAATCTTACCTTATGACAACCTTCTAAGTTGTTAGCAAATGTGACATGTATATAAGGAGGTTTAACTTCAACCTTTCTAAAAAATTTCTATTTGCATAATATCAATTGCAATCATTTTTTATGTAGTAGTAGTAATACACAATACCTTTCTTCTAACAAGGCATGATTGTGATGAAAATTGAATAATGACACATACCATTTTTTGATGTTAATGTCTACATGCACACGAAACATAGTTTCACTCATAGTTTTAAAAACCGAACCGGTCATCGAACCGGTTAAGGTACTGGGTCAGTGGGTTAAAGGTTGAACCGGTGAGTCACTAGTTGAACCGCATGACTCGATTTTTATTAAAAAATATTTATATTAAATATATTTTATACTTATAAATTTTAATAAATTCATATCTTATTTTAAATTTCAATTTTTCTATCTTATTTAAAATTATTTTTATTTTTATTTTGTAAAAAAATACATAAAAAATTACATGTTAAACGGTATATTAATACAAATTAAAAATATAAATAATATGTACATATATAATATGCTTGCAATTAATATCACAAAATAATATATGTAATATTTACATAGATATTGCATTATTAAATATATAATTTAAAATTAATAATATACAATAAAAGTTATTTAAGTTGTATATATTGCAAACAAATATATTAGAACAAGTAGTCATTGTTATATTTAATAAGACTCCTTGCTTTTTCATTAAGAGATTCAATTTTTATTATTATTTTTGTGATTTATGGTCCCTTAAAAAATTTTTAAAAAAAATAAGAAAAAAAAGTGGTTGAACCGGTTTGACCCATCGGTTCACCGGTTGAACCGGAAAATTGACCGGTTCAATCCGGTTTGAAACGGGTCGACTGCATAACCGATCCAACTTCAGATTCGAACCGGTTAGACCACCGGTTCCCGGTCCAACTGGTCCGATCGGCCGGATCGGTCCGGGTTTTAAAACACTGTTTCACTTCAATACCTTGTTTCACTTTTTGGTTTACATTTCAATTTTCATCAGTTAAAAACTTATCTTCTCCAAAACATGTACATGAGCAAATAAATAAATGTTTTCGATGATGTTTCTCATTTCAAATTTCTAAATACATGGCTTTTGCAAATAGAGAAACTTTTAATTCTTGCACATAACTAAAAAAATAAGTACACAAGTTTCAAATTATCAAAATCTAACCTCAATACATCATTAATGTTAATATTTTTCATGTCAATGTTCAATATATACCATTCCATTTATAATTATATCTTTTTCGAAAAATTAATTTTCTACAACACCTTTAAGTTTAAAATGTATTTCATTCTCCCAATTATTGTCATTTCTATTTCCATGTTTATCAATATTTTGATTGTTATCTTCATTTTCACTTTCATCTTCATTTACACTTATCATACTTTGTTTCCATTGGATGACTCTTGATTGTTGCTTTTATCTCTTCCTTGATAACGTCAATTTATGCTAGCATAATCAAAACATGGCCGTAAGCATAATCTAAAATATGTCACAGAACTATTCTTTTTGTTTAATATAATTAAATAATAATAATTGCAATTCTATCTTTATATTATTATTCATCAAATATGACAATTTCCATTTCAAAATCTGTATCACAAATTATAAAACATTCACATACAATACAATGTCATCTTAAGTTGCAGACATTCAAATACAACACTACACCATGTCAAATTACAAATTTGAAGAAAGGTTTTTTTTTTAATACAAACCGAGGAAGACAATTTACTATACAATGACTTTTTCCCCATTGCCATATTCACAAAAGTAAGGGAAAAAGAAAAACAACCAAACGATTATTGTCATGGGAATGTTATATGGTCATTAATGCTAATGGAACATCAAATAAGTAGGTGTGCACAATTTGAAAGATCTTAATCAAACAAAATTTTAAAAGTTCTTTCCACACCACCACCAATGCCTTCAACTACTACATAACAACAATAAAAAATGAATAAGAATAATTGTTTCATGAATGTGCAACCACAAAGCTTAAACTCACAAAATATCCAAATTGAAGGAATAGTAAGAAAGAACCAATGGATCAAATGCAGGTCTAACAAAGTTTAAAGGGGAACAAAAGATGCAACCAATTTGAAAAGAGTTGGTTCTCACTATTTATAGGATAAAATACTAATTAGGTTATAATTAATCATAATAATTGAAAATTAAATAATTTAAAATATTTGATCATTTAAAATTAAATAAAATTAAAACAGTCGAATTATTATCCCTCATTAAAACTAATATTAATTAAAATTTTAAATTTAAATTTAAAATAAATATTTTGAATTTAAATTTAAAATAATTTCATAAATAAATTAACCTTTTAGAATAGCTCAAAATGTACAACATGGGACCATGCTCTTAACGGGTTATATAATGCTAAAGCTACCTTCCATTGACTAACCAATGCTCCCCTTTCTAGTGACCCCTCCACAAGTATCGAATCTTAAGTTTGGTATCTTCCTGAAAATATTTTAAATTTTGTAAGGATAACATACCATATTTACCTATACCAATGTTTGTTGTCCTAGGTGCAGTTATCATCAAGAGTCAATTATTCACTTACTCAAGGATTGTCCGAAAGTTACTTATATTTGGCAATCTATTAGTATGATGTTTCACATGGATGCTATCATTATGGATTTTAAAGCTTGGTTGCTTCACCATGTTGAGGGTCTTTAACGAGTTCTTTTTGCAATAACTTGTTGGAGGTTATGAAAGTCAAGGAATCATGTAGTTTTTAATGAATATGAGTGGCTTGTTTGGTATATTGTTCGATGCATTCAAAATATGCATTTGGTCAAATCAATTGTGAGATGCACAGAAACTTATATTGGTAACACCGTTAAGCTTAATACTGATAGTAGTTCTCAAGAGAATTTGGGTAGCTCATGATTTAGAAATTTATTTTGTGATGTTTTTGGTACATGACTTTATGATTATTTTGATCTGTATGGATTCTCTTCTAGTTTAAATGCATGATTATTTGTTATTCTTCATGGCCCACAACTGACCTGAGCTAATAAATATTATTCTCTTATATGTGAATTAGATTTAAAGCTTAGTATTCATTTCATCAATAGTAAAATTGTCTCAACTCATCTATATACTCCTCTTATGTATATAATTCACTCTTTATTATCTTTTGCATGAAATATTACCTTCGTTCATTCTTACATATAAGCGAATACTTGTGCCTATTGTTTATTGAAGTACAACTTCATCTTTACCTTATGAAATCTTAACATATTGCCCATTTTCTCTTACATTGTTGTTGGTAGTAGATGTTGCAGGAACTGAGTTTATTATAGTAGCTTAATTTACTTTGTTTGTGTTTCGTGTATTAAAAAAAATACAACATGGGATTAAGGGATAATTTAGTAATTTTAGCCGTATTTAAAAAAGTTGGGGGTTTTAAAAAGTAAAGTGGAGGTGTGAAGAGCAAGAATGCCCCCCAAAAGCCCACACCCTCAGCGCGCGTCTACACCAAATAGCAGAAGCGGATAACGGCAACACTTTCTCCCTCTTCTCTGCGTCTCACACTCTCACTCACCACTCCCTCACACTGAAAACCAACAACTTCACCTTCTTCCTCCGCAATCCAAAACCCTAACACCCAAAGAAGAAGAAGGAGAAGATGCTAGCATGTCCTAGCAGCTCCCTCCATGGCCTCGCCGCACTGCAACGCCATTCCCAACCCTCTCACTTCCTCCTCTCCAAGCCTCTCCTCTTCCCTCCTTCCTCTCGCTTCGCAGCTTCCCGCAAATGCAACTTCCGTTCCCTCCTTTCCACCGCTCGCCGCCGCTCCCGCGTCAGAGCTTCCGCCGAGGTGACGGACTCCGTCGTCGGCGATGGTGGCGTCCTGGAACCGTATTCCGTGAAGATTCCCGTCGGTGATAGACATGTAAGTTTGGTTCCGTGAAGTTCTCATAAAACAAAATTATTAGTATATTTGAGTTTGTGAAGCCTTTATTTTAGAAGAATGGAAACAAAGTAATGAAAATGTCAATTAGAGTTCATGCATTGAATGAATAAGTGACAAATAATAATAAACTAGTGAAATAATCAAATAGTATATGTTTAGAGTGCTCCTTCTGTTCCTTTTCATTAAACAATTGAAGTCATATGGCTTCTTTATTTCTGTCGCAAGACTTAGTGAAAGAAAAGTAAAAAAAGAAAAATTACGAATCATTGAATTATGTGATTCGTATCAGTGATATGAAATTACAGTAATTCATTCATGTACCGTAAGATTCATAGTTATTCGAGATTCTTCTCTTGGTTTTTTTTTGGGGTGTATATCCACAGGTTCCCTCCCTTTGGAGATATTCTTGTGGGGGCTTGTACCAAGTGACCCTCTACACAAGGATGTTTTTTTTGCTTCACAGGATTCAAACTAAGAACTGAGATTCTGATAACTATGTCAAGAGAGGTTGATAGTGAAAAATTTAAGGAAGGATTGCTAGCTATTTTTTTATTGTAAGTTTGTAACAATGGGAAGGAGGAGTCTCGGATTTGGTAGTATTTTGCCTAAATACATAGCTCTTTTGGTTAAACGGTTGTGAAAGTTTTCCCTTCGAACCTTGTTCCCTATGGCATATTTAAAGGGTAAGAGCTTGGGGGAGGTAGTAGGTAAGGGTTGAGTGAGGTAGAAAGGTTTGTATGGGCTGGGATATTCTGTTCTGCTGCATAATTTCCATTGTTATCCTCTTGTTTTCTTCTACATTTTAGTTTTCATCTCTGCTTGTAAGTTGTAAGGAGTTGGATCTCTATTTTCTATTATAATTTTCTGTTCCTATAAGTTTTGGCTAATAAAAGAAAATTTTCTGAGCCCAGTCTCATTACATTTAATTGGTTTAGATAATTTGGTTATTAATATGTGATCACCCCTAATTTTTGGTTACCAACAAGGTGATTGTTGCAATACAGCACACTTGGTTCTATGGAAGTAAATGCCATTTTTAGACTCTAATTTTCTGAAGCTGGGCAATATTTCCTCATTATAATTTTGAAGGAAGTTTTTCATCATCCTTATTATTTTTTCATCAAACTTCCTTGTCTTCAGAAACTTGAATGAAAGAATGCGTTGACTTAGAATCCATTTTTGTGATTTCACAAAAACGTTTATTCTTAAAGATTTTCTAGCTAAATAAATGCGGAAATGGAACAGTTTAATTTTTATCTTTCTATTGCAGTTGTAAAGTTTGTTTTTATTTCTTTGCAAGATTTTATGCCCTTGAGAAGAGTTTATTTTTGGTTCCAAATGACAAATCTGCACAATATTTTTGTGTCAAATTATGGTTGTATGTGGGGTGGGGTTGTTGCAATTTGCTAAAATATATTTTTGGAGTTAAAAATATGCATCCAGTACTCGTTTTATTTACATATTAGGTTGTGGCATTCTACAGATTTTGGTTGAGACTGGTCATATAGGAAGACAAGCAAATGGCTCTGTTACAGTTACAGATGGAGAGACTGTAAGTTCCCTTTATTTCTTCTAGTTATTAGTTTATACATGATTGTGAACATTGTCAGATGGATCAAAATTATGTTAAAAGAAAATTGAATGCTCTCTGTGAATCATACCTAGGGGTGTAAATGAATTGAGTAATTCATGAAGTATTTTAAGCTGGACTCATTAAGTTCTCAATCAAACTCATTTGTTTTTAATAAGAAATAAAATCAAGCTTGACTTTAAGCCGATTATATAAATGAGTTAAGTTAAAACTTTATAGGCTTGATATTAAAAGCTTATGAATGACTCATGTGCATTTATGTAATGATAGAAAATTAAGGGTGAGCATGAATTGAACTTTTAAATGGATTGGATTTAAAATCCATACCCATATAACAAAAGAACAGGTTGATTTTTAAAAGCCAGGTTGAAACTGGTTTCTGGTTTAAAACCATCAACTAGATTTTAAACCAGTTGATGTTTCAATACGGATTTTAAAACTGGTTTGGTTTAAAAATCGGTTTAAAATTAAAAATCTATTTAGAACCATTTTAAACCATAACCAGATTTAATCCATTATGATTTAAAATTATGTTACAACTTTTTTTCATACTCTCATTTTTAAATGACGTTAAGCATTCAAACTATGATGATTTAAAAACAATTTGATTTTTTCATGAACTAATTTGAAATTGGTTTCAAAACTGGTTTTAATAACTTGTTATAAAAGAGGTTCTAATTCACTTTCAAATATATTTTTACATTTAATATAGATTGAAGCTTGAGTCATAATTCAGAGTAGTAGTTGTCACAAAATCATATATCGGTCAATCAGGAGAAGTGAAAAACTCAAATTCCTATTTGACCATACTCTTTTTCTTCTAATATAAACGCATTAACTAAATAGAATATTTATATTTATTGTTTAAAATTTTTATTTACAGTTAGAAAATAAATAAATATACGGTTTTATATTCTCATTTGAATCAATAATTATTTTATCTATGTAAATCTTAAAAATGAAATGGTTATATTTTACAACTATCTAAGTTTTAATTTTAAAACAGAATATATCTATATAATTTTATGTTTGATATATTTTTTTAATAAAATTTCCATTATAAAACAAAACGTAATTATATAATATTATGTTGATTTTTTTTAATATAAATTTACTTTATTAAACTAAACAATGTTATGTTCTGTAATTTTCAATTATTGAACAATTTTAAATTGTTACACAAATTTAATTTGATACTCACTTTTATATTTGCTTGAGAAATATAAACGTATAAATATCATGGTGCTATATATATCACAACACTTTTATATATGTTAGAGTGTGTGTGTGTGTCTGTGTGTGTATATATATATATATATATATATATGAGTAGAATTTAAACGGCATTGGTGTAACTTTTATCAACCATTGCACCCCTCAATAACTTTATATTAAATGTGAATTTTTTAAAACTTATCGTTAGATTGAAAGGTTCTTACTCCTATATCATATATACATTTTTATATTAATCTAAGATGATTTGATACCTCATTCTTATAGAACAAAATTGACATAATATATATTTCAAAATATATTAAAATATGAATACTTTGATTAATTTCAAATTGTTGTTCAGTTTTAACAAAATTTGATATACACATACAATGTAATATGAAGTTATGATTTAGCAGTTGGATCGACAAAATTCACATTTAACATAAAGTTATTAAGTAATATAATAGCTAGTAAAAATTACATTGGTGTTGCTTGAACCCTCTCTCTATATATATATAAAGAGGGAACCACTTACTCTAAGAGGAAGTTATGGTAAACTTACTCTACTCAATAACTCATGTTCTACATTAAATTTTAATTATTTAACCGTTAAATTAAAAGTTCTTAATTTATAGATCAAACTTTCAAATTTTTAAAATATTTGAAAATTTTTTATATTCCGTTTGATTAATTCAAATTGACGGGTAATTATAAAAATATTTTATACGTTGATTTGAATTAATGAAACAAAGTATTAAACAATTTTCAAATTTCGTGAAATTTTGCGGACTTAATTTATGCATTATGAATTTTCAATTTAATGGTTGGATTGTTGAGATTTGATATAGAAAATAAGTTATTGAGTGGAGTAAGTCTACTAAGACTTACTATTTGAGTAAGTGAATTCCTCCTCTCTTTTTATATATATATATATATATATATATATAAGGAGTAATAATAAAATGGTACGCAGCTTACTGATAGTTAGTTTTTTGAGACTTGCAATTTGGGTTTTTTGGATTCTACTTAAAATTCATGTCATGGGAAATGGATAGTGGTTCTCAAACAGATTACAAATATGGGTTGGATAAAATATCCAATCCGTTAAAATAGGTTTATAAATCGATCGAACTGGTGCAGTTATGGATAGGTTTAGTAAAGTTGGATTTTTTGCCCACCCAAAATGTTAATTTTATTTTAAGAAAATATACTTGGTAAATTGTTATTTTTTTATTAAAAATTATTATTAAATAATTTTGTAAAAAAAAAATAATGAAACTATAAATGAGCTAAATGAGTCAACCTCAAGCTTCATATTTTTCCAAGAAGTCAAGTCTAAGCTTTAAATTTGGCTTTTGTAAATAATTGAGTCAAGTTTCAGCACCACCTTTTTTTATTTTTGCAAGACAAGTTTGAACTTTGAACTTTCAAGTATTCAGCTTGACTTGACTTTTACAAGAAAAAGGAACTAAAATTTGTTGTTTAATGGGTTCAAAATATTGAGTTTTTCCAATTTACATGATATAATATCGTACATTCTGCAAATATATTATTAGATGGCTCAGGTAAATAATGTACTGTTCTGTTGGTCATAAAAATTATTGGTGTTATTGAGAGGTTAGTAAGTGTTAGTGCCCATATACTAACATTTGACTAAGTGAAATTTTTAGCCAGGACATCAAATGAATTAATATACTGTTTTATTATATTGAGATGGAGAGTATGTAAATTAGGAATTTTTATGATGATGCATTGACACATATAATTCAACATTGATACTTAACAACTTTTTTTCACATTTTATTTATTGAAGAAAAATATGACATTTTACATTGTTTTGGATGGAAACAATCATTAACTTATGCATGAAGAACTCAGCTTTTATTCTTTTGAAAATTCAAGCTGGTGTTTTTCATTGCAGATTGTGTACACAACTGTTTGCTTGGATGATGTTCCTACTGAACCGTCTGATTTTTTCCCTCTTTCTGTTAATTATCAAGAGCGTTTTTCAGCAGCTGGTCGCACTAGGTATGACATACACACATTTCTATTTCCATATTCCATTTTACTTGTTACTTGATTTGTTTTTTTGTTCGGGTGTTTAATACTTCAATTTACTATTGTTTCAGTGGAGGGTTTTTTAAGCGAGAAGGAAAGACAAAAGATCATGAGGTACTACTTTTCTAGTTATTAACTTTGGCTTTCAATAATGTCAATCTACAATTAATCTTAATCCTGGTCACCCATCTTAAATTTCCACAATTTGTGACTTATATTTTGTTATTTTTCGTGACGGAGGATCACTTATTTTCATTTTTACATAAAAATAAATAATGATAAAAGCTGTATCCCTCTAGGTGAGGTCGGCTATATGGATTTTACATGACACTTAAAAGTAAATAATAGAGGAAATTCAGTCAATGATACATTATTAAAATTTTCATTTTTACATAAAAATAAATAATGATAAAAGCTGTATCCCTCTAGATGAGATCAGCTATATGGATTTTACATGACACTTAAAAGTAAATAATAGAGGAAATTCAGTCAAAAATACATTATTAAAAATCTTGTTCGATACTTAAAAGAAAATACAAGGGGAAACAAAATCCATATATTTTATTTGTTTCTATTCATCATGATGACCAATGCCTACTTAGTTTATGCCTACTTTCTTAGTTTTCCATCTTGCACTTATGCAATTGATAAAGTCCTTTTATCCACTATTACAGCCTGATTAGAACACTTCCCTTCATTTTTCTTATGAAGTGTAACAATTTATATACCCATCATTCCTTTGACAAAAAGGGGCGGTGCCTTTTTATTTGTTCTTATTTCAAGCATGATTTATTTCAGGAAGGTGTTTTGCCCTCTAATTTGTACTTGGTTTCTTCTCTAATTTTTTCTCTACCCCCTTCCCAATCTGGGAAATGTATGGATGGTCCTTCTCTCACTGCCATTTGTGTTATGCTGCCTTAGCCATCTCTTATTGCACAGTGAGGTAGCTTGGCAATTGTTTGTTGGGTAAGTTGTTTTGTCTGTTTGGGATAACATTAGCCATTTGGCTTCCCTATGTTGTATAGCACTTGGTCTTTTTAAAGGGGTGCCTCTTACTGATATGTTGAGGCATTGGCTTGATTTACTACATTGATGTCTGTTGTTCTTGATACTAATTTTTTCCCGTTCAAACCCTACACTAGAATCCCATACTTTCAATGTGGGATTAAATTCCATACCTTGTAATTTGATCCTAACATGTCACCACGCTTTGCAGCCCTTGTACCCATACGGGCTGGTTGTGCACTAGCCCTTTGACTAGTCTCGAGGGAACTCTGCAATGCTGGTGTAGTGTTACTACCTGCATTGCTCTTTTGAAGCTGAAAGATAAATCTCAGATACCAATCAACAAGAAAAAATTGAAGAAATATTCTTGGCGGTTACTTTTCAAGAGTTTTGAGTGCTGATTTAGAGTTCAAATGAAGATACATGTTGAAATATAAATAAGAAGCCAAGCTGTTGATGGAAGACACATTTTGTAGTCGTAAGGGGCCTCTCAGAGTCCAAATAAACCTTTGTGAAGCATGTATTTCATGTGTAAAGCTTGAATGCACAGTTCAATTTCTTTTTGGCTTGACATCATGACTCTGAAAAGCCAATTGAAGAAGTTATGTACTAGGATTTAGCGATTTGGAAGTTTTTATGGATATTTGATCAATTCAATCTTACTTAGTATTGGCTTCTTGGTTTTATTTTCAATTTGGATGAACTTGCTTCTACAGTATATTTTTGAATAAAAGAAGACATCTTATTTATATACAAGTTTGCTATTTGTAAAAGGTTTTGTTTTTAATTCTTGTCCTTAAATTTTTTATTGTCATATGTTGCTTGCAGGTTCTTATTTGTAGATTGATTGATAGGCCCCTACGTCCTACGATGCCAAAGGGCTTCTACCATGAAACTCAAATATTATCTTGGGTATAGTCCTTGTAATTTCACTTCTTAAATTTTGTTGTTAGACAGTTAGAGTCTACTTCTATTGATCATGTATATTATTTATATACATAGGTCATAATTGGTAGCCATCATGTTTCGAAAAATCATTAGTATGTCACTCACACCTCGTTAGTAACAAATTCACAACATGAGCTAGAGGTACAAGTTAACAATGCAAATATAAAATCTTTTTTTTTACAATGCATGAAGCTAAAACACCAAAAGAAAACAGTCTAACTCTAGACCTAGCATATCATTCATGCTATGATCATCATAGCTATCATTTTCCATAGATTTTTCATCTTCATCAATATCCATGGTATTTTCTCTAAATTCCATCAAGTTCGTCTAGAGGGGAACCAACACCACCACTAGAATCCTCTCCTACTTGAACCAAGTCTTCTTCATTTGGAGTATCCAAATCCAAACCCAAGTTATCTGAAATTTCATCAATATTCCTGATCTAATCATCATAGGAAGAAAGGTCATCATTGTTATACTTAATTTCTTCTGTAGCTTGCTTCTTGGACAATTTAAAGTTAGCCATCATAAAAACATCATTCATGTCTTTTCTTTCAAATGGTTTTTTCTTTAGATGTAGACCTGAACCAAATACAAAAGCATTTAACATGTCGCCAATGGTAGGTAACTATAAAAATGAAATATAATGCATATTCCATATATTTTTTTCTCATATGCACTTTAGTTACACTCACATCCATAGGAAAAAAATACATGTAAAGCCTAATGCATGTATAGCAAATTTTTGGAGCTCTGGATGTTTATCCCATAAGAATTGCACCATTGTGCTGGATTTTTGGTATTAACTCCAGTCATGGCTACACTACCAAAAACTTTGACTGATTATTGAAAGTTGAGCATAAAGCTTAATTATTTCTTAAACACTCAATTCCATACAACATGACATATCTTATAGTTGAGTGGCAAAATTATCTCTTAAGCTTGAGTAGTACCTTTTTGTCATAGATAACACGTAAGACACTCATCGTTTTTGTTTAATCATTGTTTACAAAATTTATAGATAGATAGTTGTGGGAAACCGTTAGTTTTATTTTAGTTGTGGGAAAACATTAGTTTTATTTTTCTTTCTTTTTTATCATTTTCTTGTTGGCCTTCAAAATAGATTTTAGGAAATACCATATGTTGATATTGAAAATGTCATGGCTGTAAGCATCCCAGGCAATAAGAGAGATATGCAGAACTGCCACCCTTTTCTTTGTTCTTTGTCTATCAACAACTTAACAATATTTATTTCATTTCTCTGCTGTACTGAAATGGTTTATATATCATGCTTTTGTTCATTTTTTTGGTGTATTAAAATATGTCTCTACCTTTTGGAAATTTCACATGCTAGTGTCTATTGTAAATTAATGCTTTTAGGTTTTGAGCTACGATGGATTGCACTCCCCTGATTCTTTGGCTGTCACTGCAGCTGGTATAGCAGTGTAAGTTGGTCATTCTATTTTTGCTGCCAACCATAGGACATTTAGAACCCATGCACAATGATATTTTTTTTCTTCTATTTAAATGAATTAAAAAAACTTCTCTTACTCAATTTTTGGTTGCCAAAACATAAAAATGATGATAATTCAGTAAAAAGGGGAAAGAAATACAAGCCGAAAGGAGGATGAGATGATGAAATATCCTATAGAAGATGTAAAAATAAGGTACATATGCAATATGACACAAACACAGACACTAAAGTTAGGTCTGAGGTGTTTTGTCACGTGCTATTAGATTTCTGTTTCAGTGAGAGAGAAGAGGAGAGTATAGAGTTTATTTTGAATCTGAAGTATTTTCATTATGCACCAGAATGCAAGGATCCCTATATTTATAATAGGGAAGGTACAAAGTTCGGTTATAACTCAAACAGCTACTAACAAATAACAGTCTAACAGAAAAATAACAGAAAGCAAGTAAAGATACAATACAGCAGAACCCTGAGAAGAGCCTGTGCCTGCACTACAGAAAGAACCTAACAATTACAGTCCTACTTGACATATTCTAACACATGCATTATGCTATTTACACATGCCCATAAACACTCTGCATAACTATTAATCTTATTCATTTAATTTCCAGAGCACTTTCAGAACTTCCTGTGTCAAAAACAGTTGCTGGAGTTCGTGTTGGTCTTGTTGGTGATAAATATATAGTAAATCCTACAACTCAGGAGATGGAACACTCTGAGTTGGACCTCTTGCTGGCTGGCACAGATAGTGCAATATTGATGATAGAGGTAAAACATTATCCTTTATTGTGAACAATAAAATATTAGGAATATGTCAATAGACTGATAGAGCATGTTCAATAATTGTTTGTAACTTGCTTTCAAAAGAAAATCATGCAGGTCTAGATATCCTGATTTTTGGGAAATAAATAGAAGGTAATAAATATTAGATTTCTCTTCATACAATGCAATTATTCTGTTCTGTATATTTGTTGTGATTCAGGAATTGTGTGTATTGTTGTACACATACCAATCTTATTTATAGAGTGAATACAATAAATGATAGAGATACTAATCTCTAATATTGTGGAAACTAATCTAATCATATCCCTAATTGATAGTGAGGATAATAGCCATAATATATGTATCCACAATATCTGTAATATATTCACAATATCTGTAACACTCCCCCTCAAGCTGGAGCATATATATCATATGCACCAAGCTTGTTACAAATGTAATCAATCTGAGGTCCTTTAAGCGATTTTGTGAACATATCTGCTAACTGGTCACCAGAGGCAGCCGGAGGCAGTGGTCAGAGGCGGCGATCGGAGGCGACGGCCACCTGAAGCGACGGTCGGAGTTAGCGACTGGAAGCGGTTGTAGGTGGCGATCGGAAGCGGCGGTCGGAGTTGGCGACCAGAAGCGGCGACTGGAAGCGGCGGTCGGAGTCGGCGATCGGAGGCGATGACCGGAGGCGGCGGTCGAAGTTGGCGACCGGAAGTGGCAGTCAGAGGTGGCAATTGGAAGCGGCAGTTGAAGGCGACGACAGGAAGCGACCAGAGGTGACGGTCGGCGGCGCGGCAACTGGCGG